GTTGAACATGATTGACCATGATCCAAGAGGTCCTTTGGTTCAATTCCCGATCAGGGTACATGACCAGGTTGCAGGCTCGATCCCCTGTAGGGGGCGAGCAGAAGGCAGCTAATCAATGGTTTTCATTAATATTTCTATCTCTCTATCCCTCTCCTTCCTTTCTCTCTAAAAAAATCAATAAAAACATATTTTTTTTAAAAAAGAACTTGCCACAAATGCCTGGCAGAACAAGTGCCCAGTAAATGTGCTGTTATCCACAGGAGGTGTGGGCACTGAGTACATTAACCACAGGGAAACCCTAAAGGACTCCTTACCCTAAAAGTCTTTCCCACCACCTTGACTGCCTGAAATTCCTATAGCAGGAAATAAATCTTTCATGCCACCATTGGGGAAGAAGTATAATAAAATACTTCAGGAAGAGATCATCTCTTACATTCTCTCCAAGACTTCAAATGCTTTCTGAAGAGGAGGGGCTTGGTGAAAGTTATCAGGCCAGGTCCCTAAAGGACAAAGATGGGGCTTGGAGGAGGTGGGGCTGTCAAAGAGAGGTGGGGACATGAAGTGACTTAAGCTTTGAACACATTTCCAATTCTGTTTTTCTTGTGGCAAAGAGCACACTGGTTTAGGGATGTTTTGTTTTTATTTTACTTTTTTAAAATATGTTTTTATTGATTTTAGAAAGAGAGAAAGGGAGAGGGATAGAGAGATAGAAACATGAATGTGAGAAAAACACATCCATCAGCTGCCTCCTGCACACCCCCCTACTGGGGATGGAGACCACAACTTGGGCATGTGTGTGTGGGGGGGGGGGGGGGGAGTATCATGGGTTGAAACTCAACCACTGAACCAAACCCACTGGGCTTTTTTATTTTTATTTTTTTAATTTTTTTCCCCACTGGGCTTTTTTATTTTTTAATCCTCTCCTGAGGATATTTTTTCCATTGATTTTTTTAGAGAGAGAAAAGAGGGAGGGAGAGGAGGGAGAGAGAGAGAGAATAAAAACATTGACAGGGGCCTGGGATGAACCTGCAACCGAGGTACATGCCCTTTGGTCTTAGGGCCGATGCTCTAACCATTGAACAAACCAGCCAGGTTTAAAAAACAACAACATGTTTTTGTTTTTAATCATGATTCATACAGCATACTTCTCTACTCCCCCAGTGTTGCAAATGGCCACATAACACTAGGACACAGTAAGGTTAGGATTATAGTTAGGATATATTTTTTTGCTTCAATCCCATTCATTTTCCTGCAGGTTGCCAGCTACTCAGAAACTGAACAGGAGAAGTTAGGTAATGAGAAAAGCTCTCTACCTTATCAATTATTGTTGATGGTAGAAGTAGGCAGGGCCCAGGATCCCCTGGAGTTACCCCAATCCCCAACACCCTCAATTAAAAGGTGCTTTTGAAACACACCCTAAGTAGACATGCCCAGAGTAGCACAGAGCTCCAAACTGAACCGGGGCTGCCTGAAATCAAATAAGAGGAGCCCTCCCCCCACCATGGCCCCATCTTCCTAAATTCGGATTGCTTATTGTGATTAAGAGGCCAGCCTGTGGCCAAGCCCCGGCTCTGC